CCTGGGGGTTTTTAAGAGGAGGTTGGATGACCACCTTACTGGGGTCATTTGACCCCAGTGCTCTTCCTGCCATGGCAGGGGGTCGGACTAGATGATCTGCTCAGGTCCCTTCCGACCCTAGAAACTATGAAACTATAAGTTTGGACAGATGTTCTCCAGGGAGATGGGTGACACAGCGACTTGCTCGCTGACATGGCATCACATCAGATCAAGCATTGTAAAGTCGAAACTGATGTCAGAAAGTTGAAGCAGGGTGTCAATTTATAAATGCTGTATCAAAACACTGTATGTCAAGGACAGCCTGTATTCAGCATCAGCTAATATAAACTATCCTTCGCTTCAGGATAAGCAAGGTAACATCTTCCAGGACAGCCTCATTATTCCTTGCAGACTCTAAAAGAACACAATTCTAGTGCTGCTACAAAATATCAACTACTATACATTCTTGGTCTTCCATGTAGCCAGACCAAAAAGCTCTCTCTCTGGATGACAAACATAGTTTTCTGAGACTGAAAAAATTACTTTCAGACAAGAGTAATAAATTCCTATTAAATTATTTTTGTATTGTGTTTGGTACCATGAGATCACTGTCCCTAAGTGTCAAGGTTAGGGAATGTAATCAGTGTTTTCTTTTCAAACCAAGCAGTCAAAGTACTCTAAATGTTTTTGATTTTATCTTGAATTTCATGATATCTGGTATTTTCCATAAAGTGCTGGTTCCAGATTTCATGCGATTATATGGAAATTTCAGCTTCTGTTCCAAAAAACATTCTAGCACTTGTAGCTATGGGAAAAAGCCTAAACACACAAATGCTAAAGGTTCAGAAACAAGTAGACGGCTTAAAAGAAGCAAAAAGGTTTTTTTTAAACTCATTACTTAAGAGTCTCATGGTTTCTGAACAGCTGAAGTTGGCACTGTTGTAGCCAGATGATTTTTTATTCATATATTAAGTATTGCAGTAACTTGGTACAAATGCATGTTTAGGCACACGTTTATGACAAAATAAACTGCCTTTATTCCCTAGTAAAAGTGGAGTGAACCCAGCCCTATGCCTATTTAAATCACTCTACTCCAATCTGGGATAAAAGTAGCATTCAGGAAGTGGGGAATATCTAAGTACTAGAGTATATACCTGCCTGAAAAAAAAGGTTGACCCCACTGGTCTTGACGGTAAAATCTGTTGTAAATTATTCCACAGCATCCTAAGCACCCTAATTCTAATCTTACCTATGGTGAGGTCAGAGTGGTACAGACTGGTGGTTTTTGCTTTCCTCTATAGCAGTGGGAGAGATAGTTGGCCCTCTTCCTCAGACCTCAAGCATATTTTAACAGCCCTTCCAGCAGCAGGATATTGGTCAGCAGAACATTGGTTACTGTTGTCCCTCTATTTTACCTGTGGCAGGTTAGCATGCCTTGTAGTTGTGGCAGGGTTGACTGGGTAGTTTTACTAACAGGTTAGACTACAGATACGTTTAGGATGGTTTGGATAGGGATTATCCTGTCTCTGGCTAGACGACCTCTGAAGGTCCCTTCCAGCCCTATTTTTCTATGATTCTGTATCCAATGCAAGCTTGCATGCTCTACGTTGAGAAGAAAAAAATATAGCCCGTGGGCTGGATCTGCTCCATGGAGGTGTGTCACTCAGCCTGCAGGGCTTCTCACACGCCACACCTCCGCCACAGCCACTGAACCCCCACAGCCGCAATGTCATGCCTGTGTAACTCCCCTGGATCAGGAGCTAATGCCTCTCACTTCCTCCAGACCCCAACCCTGTTGTCCCCATCAAAACCAGGGTTTTTAGTGACCCTTGGTGACTAAGATTGATGGAAGGGAAAGGGAGGGACAAGTAGCTGCAGCATTAACTCTAAAGACATGCTGAAACAGAGGCGCAGTCATCCCACAAGGATTAATGGTGCTGCTGCTGCTTGCACATCATGGGAAGTCCCGCGGTCCTGATTTGGTCCATGGGGCCAAACAAGTTTGACATCACTGTTCTACATTACTTTACTTTCTGCTGTTGTTGCTATTCTACACTGTCCTAGAGAGCCTGGTAAAGCTGAAAGCTCCCCTGTTGGTGAAGTACAATTTGGCCTAAACAAAACAGTGATCACCATTAGTTATTCCACAATAGTGGGGGTCAACCTTTTTGGCATGAGTGCCACAAATTAGCCAATTACCATTCCAATCCCCCTCCCGGACCTGATCTGCTGCTCTGCTCCTTGCCCCATCTGTTTCTCTACTTTCTCCCTGATCTGCATGCTGCACAGAGAAGCTACCCATGCCATTTGTGGCGCACATGCCACAGGCTGGTCATGCCAAATTTATAAGGTACTCTCTCTTTTTTATTACTTCCTTGATATTCACTTAACATTTTGCTCTCGGTGAGTGTTGTAATGTCAAAAGCTGCCCTTCCAAAAGACAGGAGAGCTACTGAGCCACAGTGACAAAGGAATTATAAATTGTAATTAAAATTCTGTGTTGCTGTTGAAGAGTTGTACTCTAATCTTCAGCAAGCTGGAACTGAACCTTTGGAGCACCAAATAAACCCTTTACCAGTTACAAAGGAGACAGAGAAGTGGGAGAGAGGATGTTACCCTGGGCCTAGGGAAAAGCAGGAACCCAGACAAGGAAAATGGGCGTCACCTGAAGAGCAGGCAGAATTACTAGCAGCTGGAAACACCAAGAAACAGCTGCAGGTTAGAAGTCAACTAGCAGGTGTTTCTGTTTCTCTACCAAACCTAACAGCCTTTCTGTATCTGGGTATTCTTTTATTTTTAGTAATAAACCTATTTGGATTTTCTACTTTACAGTGTGTCTGGTGATAAGAATGACTTCAGTGCAGTTGCAGAAACAGGCATCCTATTCCCAGGAGGACTGCAGAACCATTTTCTTTGGCAATCCCAGGGAAACCCCAAGAGTTCAAGGGGTTCTCCACTAGGCAGTAAAGTCCTGTTAGGTTGTGCTTGTTGAAGTGAGATTTGCAAGGGAAGAAGAGTCAACGCCCCATGGATATACAACAGGGCCATGGGAAGAGGATCTAGGGCTCTGGGGTCACTCTAAGGCAGGGTTAAACAAAATACAGCCTGTGGGTTAGATCTGGCCCACCAGGCAATTTCATCTGGCCCACAGGCACCCACCAATTAATTGTACCCTGCCCAGTGAGGGAGGGCCCTGGCCTGTCCAGCACACGCAGCTTCTGGGCAGGGCCACTGCTGCCACTACAGCAGCTGCCGGGGGACCTGCTTGGTTTCCACCGGTTACTCTTCCTGTCTCTGCTAGTGCTTGCTTTGGGTAGCAAGTAGGGAAGCTGCAGCTGGGCAGGAACACAGAGCGTGGGGCTGAGGCTGGCAGGAGCCGAGAACTGGTGCTCAGCAAGGGGGCGGGAGCATAGAGCTCAGGTGGACAAGGTGTGGGCGTGTGGGGTTTGTAGGGTGTGAGGAAGAGTGGGAGGTTTGAAGACTCTGCTGGGAAACAGGGAGCAGGGCTCCCTGCCACTTGCAGCAGAGTCCTGTGAGCTACACGTAGGGAAAGCAAGTGGGGAAAGCAGCCAGCTGCATCACATGGGGCTTCTCCCTGGTGGCACAGGAGTCCCCAGAGCTGCATGTGAGTTCTGTACGATAGAGGTGGGCCAGCTTAGCTCTGCTTCTTGTCAGCTGCCACATGCAGCTCCCAGAACTGGCTGGACCCATGCATAGCTGGGCAGCTGAGCCCATGTGGGCCATAAGCACCAAGGGCCTGCGGCTGCTGGTGGGGACAGGAGCGGTGCACGATGGGGGATAGGCATCTGGGGGGGGTCCCCACAACTCTCCCCACAAACACCCAACACACACCCATGCCTTCCAACATATCCTCCACCCCCCCACGATCTTCACCATATACACTCATTCCCTCAACCACACCCCACACACAATTTACAAAATATTTGATTTTGAGCTATTATGCAATCACCTCTATATACACTATCCAAACAACTCATGAAAAAAATATTTTAAAAAATAAAATTAAAAATACATTGTAGTAGATGTTTGACTTTTAGTATATGATCTGGGTTTTTTTCTGATTCCAAAGAGGCACCTGCTCCCCCCTCCCAGGTACTTCTGGGGACAAGGGGAGAGACTTCCAGTGACAAAGATCAGGGACGGGGGAGGGGGCCTTCTGGCCCCAAGACGGCAGCTGGGGGCAGGCACCTACCAAGGGGCAGGGCTACTGCTGCGGCCCTCCTAGCTCACCAAAACCGGTTCAGCGGCCCTCCAGCTGAAATAATTGCCTGCCCCAGCCTACAGCATCGATGCAACGGCTGCGCACACCGCAGGCTGCCAGCGCCTGGTCAACAGCTCCCCAGCCCTGAGACCAGACCAGGGGCTGGTCACCAGGAACAACCTGGGAGCGTTTCCTGGAAAAAGCCTTAATGCCCCGTTCACCACCCAGCGTAAGCCTCAAATGCGTTTATAAAAACGTTTCTAATGAACCACCGCCGCCCGTATCTATGCACACACTTATACATGCGCAGTCCCGCCCAGCGCGGGGGCGGGGCCAGGTCAGCCAACCCCGCCCCGCCCTGCCCCGCGCGAGGAGACCCAGCTCACCTCGGCAAGCCCCTGCGGC